GTAGCAGAACCGAGCTAAAGAAAAAATGTGCCAGACTGGGATGGTATCCTGGTCCTAGTCTTTACTAGCTGTATGACCCTGGACTAGTTAATTTAACCACCTGTAAAAAGGGGCAAATAACAATACTTATTCACAAATTGTTGTGAGGCTTAAATGAGTCCATACAAGCTATTAAACCAACAAACTCAATAATTTTCGCTATTAACTATTACTAAGCTGTCAAGAGGATTCTGGACAACAGTCCTAAATCCTAAAATCCAGAAATACTTGTTAAATCAGAATTGTTCCCAGAAGTAACAGGAGAATATGGGGTTTTAGCATAGAGAAGAGAGAAGTTACACTCACAGAGTTAAAGTGGAGGTTTACACACAGCCTTGGAGCAGAGATGGCCAGGACAGGAAGGAGCGAGAAGTCAGAGGACGAGGTTTGAGAGGATTAGAGAAGAATCAGAACACAGAACTCAGATCTGAACAAAAAACCAAAAAAAGGCAAAAAGTTTATTATGTCAATATGAAGGGTACAACTTATTTTGTGGTGATAACTCTGGTAATAGCACTATTCTCTCAAAGAAAACTCTCGGTAGGAAGGAGGAAGGTGCTCTGAGAGCAGCACTATTCAATCATGTTCTTCCTGATTCAACATTTAGCTGATATTTCTGACTAATGCCTAAGCTAAGTAACTGGCTTGTACTATGGGATTGACAATATAAACCTGAAACACATTTCTTACATTTGGACCCAATCTATGAACCAAAACTTAAAAATATGACGGCAAGAAATGTGAAAATTGGGAAATAATTTTCTATCTTGATTTGCCTTTAATTGGGCAGGAGGAGAAAAATCTGGAATACAGAGCAACAACACAAAAGAGTGAAAGCTTGGGAAATAGAGCCTATGATAAAAGATTAAAAAGTTAGAATTACTTAGTTTGATGCAGAGAAGAAAGAATAATTAAGGCTCTTAACAATAAATATTACTAAAAAGAAAAAGGTATTTCTATCAATGAAAGCAAAAGAGAAATGGGCAAAACTCCTTGGAGATATACAATTAAATACAAAAAGATGTTGCTTACTGACAAATGTTACGTGTTTAAACAGAACAGAAAAGAAGATTCTGACTGGTGAATGCTTAGAGAAAGGCAACATAACTGTTTCCAGGGAGGATAATGAGGGATGACAGAAGAGCCATGACAACCCAAGCAGGCAGCCTGACAGGCTTAGAGACCATGATGTGAACACAGCCAATACAGAACCTTGAGACACCAAACAGGAATGAGAACAATGAGAGGGTGCAGATTTGGTATATAAGTCTCTTGAGGGCCCTGAAGAAATAGGAACTGGAAGGAGAGAGACTAATCAATATCCAGCCATGGTTAAAGGCCTTGTTTGGTCTGTTTTTAGGAGGAAAACTGTCCAGAGAGGAGCCAATGTATTAATTAATGCTTCCAGTAAACTCAGCAAGCCAGTCTCAAGTCTTGATTAGGAAGTGTGATTTTCAATTAAAACTCTGATAAGGAAAAAATGGCATTAAGCATTTATCAAATGTTATTTTTAAAAAGTGGCTAAGAGTCAATAATACATTCTCTTAACAACTATCAGGTATTCTATGACTCAAAAAAGTTACACTGCTAGGCCATTTAAAAAGCATGTCCTCATTGGTATGATGTCTGGAATTTGCTTTAAAATAATCCAGAGAGAAGATAAGGGAGGTAAGTACGGGCAGAGATAAAGTAAGATTGAGTCTAATTTGATAACTATTAAAATTTGGTGATAAGGACATGGATGGTCATTATACTATTCTACAGTTATTCCTTTAAATTTTCCATGATTTTAAAAGTGATTTACTTTATGTAATGCAAGAATAAGTGGGGTGTGTTTGTGCTCTTGGGAGTGAATGTGGATTTAAACTCTACAGAACAGAAAAGACTTCTATATAACCCTCCAAATGAGACAGATATAGGCCCATCAACTATAAAACCCCAATCTTCGGGTCATGAGTTCAAGCCCATGTTGGGCATAGAGCTTACTAAAACAAACAAACAAACAAAAACAACTCACATAAAAGAGGGAATGCATTATGAAAGTTGGAAACATTAAAAAGGAAGTGTTTCAGAAAAGCAGGAAAAACATAAGCAAGGAGAAATGTTAAGAGAACAGAAGAATTGGGGAGGAGGATGAACAACAAACAAATGGTAGGAAAATCTACTTCTCCACTTGATCTTAGCCAAAAGGCTGAGAAGCGATAGGAAAATCTACTTCTCAAGCAAAAAAAAAAAGAAAAAAAAAGGAGAGGTATTTCTTGAGTAGCTATTGTGTCCTAAGACCTGTTGTTAGGTATTTAACATCATTGTCTCACATAATCCCCACAGCAAATTTGTAATGTAGATGTTATTGAGATGAGGAAATGAAAGCTCACAAAGGCTAAGTAACACACAATCATGCAGATACTAAATGGCAGAAGCAAGATTCAAAGCTTCGTGCCCAAGCGTAATCTTCATACTATAAAATAATGCTATTTCCAATGAACTTCATTAAACATACAACAAAATAAGTAACTTCGCGTGAGGCACGTATATTAGGAAAAAGTAGATGGAAAACACAATCGAAGAAGGGAGAGAGAAAAAAATCCATTTAATTTTGTCATATAAATATGTTCAGGTTGTTACTGTAGGTTAGAGAAGGTGCACAGAGAAGGGTACGTAACTAAACTGGGGACTAGAGGAGGAGTTAGCCAGGCAAGATGAGAAAAATGTTTCTTGGAAGAAAAGAGCTAGACTTATATTTACTGAGGGTCTATTCTACACCAAGAGCCAAGTATACAGACATAATTAAAATAGACCCTCCCTTTATGGAGCATACAATTTAGGGCACAGACATTCAAAGAATTACACAAAATGTAATTAACAAGTGAAAAGTGTTGTGATGGGTTAAGTACAGACTATTATGACAGCAACTAAAAGGGGACCTACCTAGGGACAGTGCAATGATCAGAGACAACTTCCCTGGGGAAGTGACATTCAAACTAAGAGCTGAAAGATGAACATGCATTTACTAGGTGTGTGGGTGGTTAGAACTGGCAATCCAAGTACTGGGAACAGCATATACAGAGGTCTTGAGATGGGAAAGAACAAGGTATAGAAAAGAAAACCAGTGTGGCTACAGTATAAGCAAACAAGAATGGGAAATGAGACTGGAAAAGCAGGCAAGCTAAATCACAAATGTTCTTTAAAACTGCATTGAATAGGGGCGCCTGGGTGGCTCAGATGGTGGAGCATGTAACTCTTGATCTCAGGGTTGTAAGTTCAAGCCCCATGCTGGGTGTAGAGATTACTTAAAAATAAAATCTAAAAAAAAAAAAAAAGGTACAGAGTCTGTAACTATCCATATAGTATGATGCTGACTAAAATTCTACATGTACGTAAAAGACTAAAAATGATAGGAAGGATTTTAAAATGTTAAACATGGGGGCGCCTGGGTGGCTCAGTTGTTAAGTGTCTGCCTTCGGCTCAGGTCATGATCCCAGGGTCCTGGGATCCAGCCCTGCATCCGGCTCCCTGCTCAGCATGGAGTCTGCTTCTCTCTCTGTCGCTCCCCCTGCTTGTGTTCCCTCTCTTGCTGTGTCTCTCTCTGTCAAATAAATAAATCTTAAAAAAAAAAAATAAAATAAAATGTTAAACATGGTTATCACTGAGTAATAGCATTAAAAATGTTTATTTTTTCCTTAAGACTTCCCTAATTTTTCCATAGTTTATAAATGACTATCAGAAAAAAAGTAAGCATAATTTTAGTTATTTTTGGAAAAGTTTTAATGACATGATAAAATGTTTCTGATACATTTTTTAAAAGATTTATTTATTTTTAGAGAAAGAAAGAGAGAGCACGAGCAGGGGAAGGGGCAGAGGGAGAGGGAGGGGGAGAATCCTCAAGCAGACTCCCCATTGAGTGTGGAGCCCAATGCAGGGCTCAATCCCAGGACCCTGAGATCATGACCTGAGCAGAAATCAAGAGTCGGCTGCTTAACCAAATGAGCCACCCGGGTGCCCCTATGATATGTTTTAAAGTGAAAAAGCATATAAAATTGTACATACAGTATGATTTCATCCATATATACATCTATAGTGAAATTATGGATGATTTCTTTAAAGTTAGATTTTCCGTGTTTTCTACAGCAACCATGTATTAATTTTATAAATTCCATTATTTTTAAAGGGCACAAATGGATGGATTAGTTTTGGACAGAAGAAAGGATTCTTTAAGATTTAAAATGAGAAGTAAGAACAAAAGATTGAGAGGGATACAGTTTGTTGGTGGGGAAGTTTACAGGTAAGGGACTCTGGTCTCAGCAAAGCAGGAGGCAAGGCCACCTATAACAAGGAAAGGGGTTGGTTAGGACTGGCAATACTAAAGTAAGGGTGAAGGTTTGGAACAGTCCTATTGGGACACACAGAACTGTCAGGTAGCACACAGGGCTCAGCCACGGATCTTTAGGGTCAAAAGGAAAATAGTATGGATTAGTATTGTTCTCAATCTTTGTATATAATTCGTGGGACTTCTTAAAAATGTCAGGTCCCTCTCCCAGTACGACTCAGTCTGTCTATGCAAACGCCCAGTAATCCCATCATTCCAACTTACACAGGGAGTATAGGTGTTAAGATTTCTGTTGTTGTTTTGTTTCAGAACTTCAGGAGAATAAAAATCAGCTTGGAAAGACAAGTGAGAGGGGTGCCTGGGTGGCTCAGTCAGTTGAGCATCTGACTCTTGATTTAGGCTCAGGTCATCAAGCCTGGCAGTGGGAATCCATGCTCTGCAAGGAGTCTCCTTGAGATTCTCTCCCTCCACCCCTCCCCCTTGCCATGCATACTCCCCCCGCTAAAATAAATAAATAAATCTAAAAAAAAAAAAAGACAAGTAAGAAAAAAAGTACCAAAGACAAGATACACTAATAGTCAAAGATATACCTTTATCTGTATTATAGAATTCTGGGCCAAACTTACCACCTTACCTTCAGCAGGAGAGCAAAATTACTCTGCAGAGAATTAGTCACACCACTTTCATATAATTTTTTCCTTGTGTGGTTTTCACTCACATTTGCACCACTAGATTGATACCTTAATAATGACTTAAGCATGGTTTCAAAAGGGTCCGCTGAAACAGACAAATTAAACATTTCTGAGTCAAAGTAATCACTCAGAAAACAAACAAAACAACAACAATAAAAACTCTAGCAGAAAAACAGATCAGGGAGGTAGGGGGTTGCAGCTGAGAGCATGGCAACTTTCTTCCCAACTCCCCTCACTATTTTTCCTATGTATGAACAGTTCAAGAGGCAATAAAAATTGGCAAGAATACAATATCCTGATTGGTAATTGCACTATAAATCATTAATACTTACATAAATTTCCTACCTACATGACAACAATATCTTTGACTTTATAAAAAGCTCATTCCACTGATTTTATTTTTATTTTTTATTTTTTTTTAATTTTTTGTTTTTTTAAGATTTTATTTATTTGCGAGAGAGAGAATGAGAGACAGAGAGCATGAGAGGGAGGAGGGCCAGAGGGAGAAGCAGACTCCCTGCTTCTGAGCAGGGAGCCTGATGTGGGACTCGATCCCGGGACTCCAGGATCATGACCTGAGCCGAAGGCAGCCGCTTAACCAACTGAGCCACCCAGGCGCCCTCATTCCACTGATTTTAAAGCAAAATTGTTGTTTGTGTGTAATGGTCAAGTATTACAGTTAAAATTATTTAGCCGAGTTCAGAAATTTGTTCTTTCTTCTTCTTCCATTTTTTAAGTGTTTCTTTAATGACTATTGTTTTCATACAAAAAATACATTGTCATTAAATTAACAATTTAACAATTAACATTAACAATTAAAACAACGCTGGGGCACCTGTGTGGCTCAGTCAGTTAAGCGGCTGCCTTCGGCTCGGGTCATGATCCCAGGGTCCTGGGATGGAGCCCCACATCGGGCTCCCTGCTCAGCAGAGAGCCTGCTTCTCCCTCTCCCCCTGCCTGCTGTTCTGTCTGCTTGTGCTTGCTCTCTATCTCTGTCAAATAAATAAACAAAATCTTAAAAAAAAAAAAAAAATTAAAACAACAGTGAAATAGAAAGAAAATAAAATTCATCTAAATGTCACTACAGAGATTACCGCTAAACATTTTCAAGATTTTTTACAGCTGTCAACATTACTTAACAGAGACAGACAAAACGTATGTCAAATTTTGCAAAGAATACAATCCCTTCTTTCAGCGCACTTTACCAGTGCATTAGCATGAGCATTTAAATAATGTTTACATGCTTCCCTTACTCCCCAAATTACACTATAAACTCCACAGAAGCAGAGACCATGTCTGGTTTTACTCATCCGTGTATTTCCTGACAGAGCCATGCTTCCATGTTGTGGAAAACTTAGTGATTAAGAGCACAAACTTAGGCCAGACTGCCTACCTTCAAGTCCTAGCTCCATCACTAATTAGTTGTGCAACCTTGGGCCAATGACTTACTCTCTTTGTATCTCAGTTTTCACTAATATCTATTTCATAAGGTTGTCCTAAGGATTAAGTAAGTTAATATGTATAAATGGCTTATAACAGTGTTGGCATACAGTAGGCATATTTGATAAACAAAATAAATCTGTGTCATCATATTAAAGCCTGAATATATTCTTTTACTCAGCCACTGAAAAACATTTAAGTTTGCTTCAAATTTTTATTGTAAATAATACTAATATGTCTTTTCTCATTCACGTGAATATCAATTTATAACTTCCTTATGATATCACTAAGTCAAAGATCCTGTCAACCTTCTCTCCCAGGTTTGTAAAATATTTACATCCCACGTTTCTCCATTCCCTCATCAACAATGAGTTTTGCCAATATTTTCCATCTCTTCCAGTCAGATAGGTAAAACTCTCATTTTTATTTGCATCCCACTAATTACTAATGAGGCTGAAATCTTCATTTGCTTACTGGGCATTTTTATTTCTTCTTTCTTAATTAACTTGTTTTTGCCCATTTTTCTACAACTGCATTTTATTTTTATTTTCTCACTAGTTTTTATTTACTTTATATATGGGTAGTAAATAATTTCCCCATTTCTCTTATAAACTTTGTCATGGTACCTTTATGTTATAGAAATACAGTAATCAACTACTACACATCATGTGTAGTAATATGTGGCCAACATTTTCCCACCTCTCTCTTTTTCATCCCTTTTCAAGGTGTTTTTTATTGTACTGAAATTTCTCGTTTTTATGTAGACAGCTTTACCTGTCTTGTGCTTGATGGCCCCTAGATCTCAAGTTATGGTAAGAAAAGGTTTATCAACACCCACCCCCAATTTAATACTTCACCATGTTTTCTTCTAATACTTTTATGACTTCAAATTTAATCATTTGGACTTTATTTTGATGTAAAGAGTAAGGCAGGGATGCAGATTTATTTTTTCCAAATAGCTAACCAGTTTTCCAAAACCATGTATTACTTTTCCCCTTTATCATAAAATGCTCTCTTTATCATGTATACTTGGTTTGTCTACTGGATTATCTACTCTATTCCATCAATCTGTCTAGCCTTATCACAGTACAAGAGCCTTTAAATTAATCTAGATTTATAGCACATTGCTCTACCTGATGGTACAAGTATTCCCTCATTAATATTCTTTTCTAGATGTTTCCTGACTGCTCAGGTACCTTTACTATTACGGAACCACCCTGGAACTATTTTTTCCAAAAAAATTCTGTTGGAATTTACATTCTTGGAATTTACATTACAATATACCTATAAATTGAAGGAAAAAATAATCATTTTACAATACTATGCCTTAAATGAGGTAATAATTATAAAGACCTTAGCATAATGCCTGGCACATAATATAAAGCATTCAATAAATGTTAGCTATTCTTACCCATGAACAATGTATGGCTCTTCCTAACAGACGTTTATTCTTTTTTTTTTTTTAAGATTTTATTTATTTATTTGACAGAGAGAGAGAGAGATCACAAGTAGGCAGGCAGGCAGAGGGAGAGGGAGAAGCAGGCTCCCTGCTGAGCACAGAGCCCAATGTGGGGCTCGATCCCAGGACCCTGGGATCATGACCTGTGCCGAAGGCAGATGCTTAACCATCTGAGCCACCCAGGCGTCCCCAGACGTTTATTCTTAAAAGATAAGGATCAGCTAATTAGAAAAATAATTAAACTTACATGTCTTATTGGGGTTGATATGCTGCTTTAGTACATCAACGGTGCCCAAACTAACCACAAGGCGCCTGCCAAACCAGAAAGAGACCACAGGCCCATATCTCTCATGCAAATTAACCAGGAACTCGTGCAAACTTCCACTGTTCACAATATCTGGAAGATTACCATCCCTGAGAAAAGAGCAACATTTGACAAAATAACTTGGAAAAATAAGAGATTTAACTTGAAGAATCAGAAAAATAATAGTTGATTCTGAATTAACTGTGTCAACAGAAGAGAGCAGAGGTGCATGGAATACAAATTACTGCAAAATCCCAAACTTAATTAAATTTGACTTCTCGTTTCTGTGGTTATATTCAGATATGGATTTGTCTGATATTTTAAGGATTTATAACAGTTCAAGCCAAGTAAGAAAGATACACAAGGAACATCTGACTCAGACAATGGAAAACGATCTAATTTTTGCAACATCTCATTCTGAGAAGGCAATGAACATCATCATAGGCTAATTTAAAATATCAGATCAGCTATGGCATTCTTTTCTTCTTTCCTTCTATCTTATCTTTCCATTTTTAATACTCTCTGGCTAGAGAAAGTGAAAACAAACTTTTTCGAGATTTATGTGTGTGTTTTAACCTTTTATTATTTATTTATTCATAAGTAATCTCTACACCTAACGTGGGGCTCAAACTCACAACCCCGAGATCAAGAGTTGGATGCTCTACTGACTGAACCAGCCAGATACCCCAAAAGCAATTAAAGTTTTTTTATTTATACAGCCCTCTTTTCTGTTCTTAACAAAGTTCAGGCTATATGCCCAGAGATAAATTTAGAGTACACAATGGAATTAAATAACCTCTGTAATCTAAAAATAGGTTTTAGTTTTAATACCAAAAATTAAGAGTTAACTCTACTGAATTCCCCAAAAAATAACTACTCACTTTTCTTCAGTTGGAGTAATCCCCGGAATTCCTGCAGCTTGTCTAGAAGCCTTAGGAGAAATTTAAAAATAGTTTAGTATAATGATTTAGTATATAATACATAATTTAGTATATGATACATAATCGTATATCCCATAAATCATATGTTTTGCCAAGACATCTACAAGACCTTAAGTGATGGCTTTTCAATTTCGTTGAATCTCAAGAATGCTTTCTGTATTAAAATACAAAAACTGGGTTCATTGAATTTAAAAGAATAATAAAATAATTTTAATACCCTTCCTGTGTCAATTAACAAGCCGAAAAATTTAACATCCATTCTACATCAACCAATACATAATTAAGCACCATTTTTATTGTTTTTCTGAGTCTATAAATGGTCCCATCTGTCTTAGTTTAAAAAAAAAAAATCGGGGCGCCTGGGTGGTTCAGTTGGTTAAGCGACTGCCTTTGGCTCAGGTCATGATCCTGGAGTCCTGGGATCGAGTCCCACATCAGGCTCCCTGCTCAGCGGGGAATCTGCTTCTCCCTCTAACCCTCCCTCCTCTCATGCTCTCTCTCTCTCATTCTCTCTCTCAAATAAATAAAATCTTTAAAAATAAATAAATAAGTAAAATTAAAAAAAAAAATCAATGTCATGCTTACAACAGATTCATTCCTAAAATAGTTCTCCTCTTCCTAGTCAAAGAATTTACCAAAATACAATATGATACTCATCTTTTGCTTTAATGTAGTCATTATTGTCAGAGAGATGTGTGGCATACAAACAAATAACAAAATAATTCATAGCAAATTGTTCAAGTAACAACCTCTAACAAATGAACTGGGGAGGGGTGCCTGGGTGGCTCAGTCGTTAAGCGTCTGCCTTGGGCTCAGGTCATGATCCCAGCGTCCTGGGATCGAGCCCTGCATCGGGCTCCCTGCTCGGCGGGAAGCCTGCTTCTCCCTCTCCCACTCCCCCTGCTTGTGTTCCCTCTCTCGCTGTCTCTCTCTCTGTCAAATAAATAAAAATTAAAAAAAAAAAAAAAAAGAAATGAACTGGGGAAAAGTTTGGGGAATTTTAATATTTAACAATTTTGTACTGGGTTTACAGTTGCTGTGTTTGGGATCAGTGTTATTTTTTATTTAACTTTATGACAATCATACTATTCTTATAATAGGATTTTTAGAAAATAATTTTTAAATAAACTAAATATTTACAGAGAAAATAACCTAAAATATTTACTCCAGAATCAATTCTGAATTTTGTCAGTAATTTTGACTAATACTAATCAGAGTTTACCTATCTGGCATTCTGCCCTTTTTTACCTAATTAACATTATATAAGTAAATGAATAAGTATTTCCTTATTTGAGCATTTATTTTATTTTTTTATATCTTAATGAAAGGAAAATGTTTCTTTTTTAAAATTTTAATTCCAGTACAGTTAACATAGTGTTATATTAGTTTCATGTGTACAACATAGTGAATCAACATATTTTTATTTATTTATTTAAAAGATTTTATTTCTTTATTTGACACAGAGAGACAGAGGCAGAGAGAGAGAGAGGGAGAAGCAGGCTCCCCATTGAGCAAGGAGCCCGACATGGGGCTTGATCCCAGGACCCTGGGATCATGACCCGAGCCGAAGGTAGCCGCTTAACCGACTGAGCCACCCAGGCGCTCCAACATATATTTTTTTTAAAGATGTATTTATTTTGAGAGCGAGAGAGGGCACATGCATGCATGCACACAGAGGAGGAGAGGGAAGGAGAGAGAGAATCTCAAGCATACTCCACACTGAGCATGCAGCCTGATGTGGGGCTCGATCTCACAACCCTGAGATCATGACCTGAGCCAAAACCAACAGACACTTAACCAACTGCTACACCCAGGTGCTGCTGATTCAACATACTTGAACATTTAAAGGCTACCATCATGTAGCTGAAATTGCTTAATCATTTTCCTACTATACTGCTATAAACATCTGGGCTATTTTTAAAAAATTTTTTATTGTTATGTTAATCACCATACATTACATCATTATGGGCTACTTATTTTCTTTCTTTTGTTTTTTCATTAATATAAGTAGTACTATAAAAATCTTTATACAATTTTACTTTTTTCCTCCTTTGGGGTATGTATGCCAAAAGAGAAATACTAGATTGAATGGTACTAACTGAAGAGTTTTATTGTTTCTGTTAAATGCTACAAGAATGCTACCTAGATAACAGTATGTGTAACTTGTATTTAACTGATAATTAAATCTACACTGTATTCTGTCCTACAGTCTCATCAATGACGGAAACTTGTCAAGTTTAATTTTATAAATAGTAGGGAAAGGATGGAAGGAACTCCATAATTAGAAAGATAAAGTCAGTGGTAGAAAAAAAAAATCCTACTTTTCCCCCTGGCTAAAATTATTAATGACATAACAAGCTTCTTGGGGTGCCTGGGTGGCTCAGTCGTTAAGCGTCTGCCTTCGGCTCAGGTCATGATCCCAGGGTCCTGGGATCGAGCCCCACGTCGGGCTCCCTGCTCGGCGGGAAGCCTGCTTCTCCCTCTCCCATTCCCCCTGCTTGTGTTCCCTCTCTCGCTGTGTCTCTCTCTGTCAAATAAATAAATACAATCTTTAAAACAAAAAAAAACAAGCTTCTTGATTTCTCTTCAAACATGATAGACTGATAACATTCATCAACTATCTCTTCCTCCTGAAATCCCACTAAATGAAAGTGAAGAAATAAAAAAGGAGAAAACAAGGATAAAGAGAATGGGAGAGGAACAATTCAACACTTTTTTTGGAAGTGTTAAGCTGTTGGAGAAGTGATTAACTGACATAGTTGAGAGGCCTCCTCTGGGGGTCTGCAGAGGAGAAAGGAGAATTCCTACAAAAAAGCAATCAGATTTGTTCTCAGTAACCAAAAGACAGGATAAGACACAAGGCAAGACGGGGTGCCTGGGTGGCTCAGTTGGTTAAATGACTGCCTTCGGCTCAGGTCATGATCCTGGAGTCCCGGGATCGAGTCCCGCATTGGGCTCTCTGCTCGGCAAGGGGTCTGCTTCTCCCTCTGACCCTCTTCCCTCTCGTGCTCTCTGTCTCTCATTCTCTCTCTCTCTCAAATAAATAAAATCTTAATAAAAAAAAAATAAGACACAAGGCAAGACACAGACTCTAACAATTCTTGAAAAGTTGGTGTACAGATCCCTGAGACACCTTAGGTGTCTTTCTCCATTCCTGTGATTACCAACCTTCTAAAAGGAGACTTCGAGATTCCAGACTCAGGAAAAACAGGATGGGAGGGTGGTAGTCCCTATAATTCTAAGGGAAAATTATTTCCCACCTAGAATTTTATACCAAGCCAAACTAGTATTGAAGTGTAAAGCTTGAACAGAAAGATTTTCAAACAAGCTAGGTTTCATAAGATGTATTTTCCATGCACACGTCCTTAGGAAGCTTCTGGAAATTGATGTGCTGCAGCATATACAGTAGTGAAATAGGAAATAGAGTATACAACACAGGTGAAGAGAATACCCACAATGATAGTAAAGGACAAGAGCTAAACTGAAGGAGATTGTAACCAGTACCAACTGGGAAAGGATGATGGAAAGCTCCAGAATGGATATGTTCATGGGAAAGAAAATGCAACTGATGCCTTTGAATATTTGGACAGCTTCACAAAGTAGTGTTATGACAGAAATGTTGAGATATTTGGAAAAAAACTACTGATAGGCAGGAGTGAATAAACTCTAACAATGTGGAAATACTACGTACAATCCTTCCCCGCTAGCCTAATACTGCCTTCTACAACTCCATCAGCAAACCGGAAGAGGGAGCCTTAGAAATCTGTATATACTCTGGATAAAATGGCTCCTATATCAACCTCTATCTACACTTCATCAGCAAAAATGAAGAGTGAACCCCAGAACTCCAGGTAAAATGTTCTCCTGCCCTTTACGACATCCACATCTCTCAAAGAGCCAAAACGATTAGAGGGATCCCAAAATTGGCATGCACCCGGACAAGACCCTGCAAAACTTCAATCTCCCCAATTCATAGCCTCACCCTACCATCTGCCTTGAGACTATCCACAATGTTATTATGACCTTTTTCCTTATTTATATTAGACACCACACAAAGGCCAGGACTACCATCCCCAGGTCTTCCCTCATCCCGCACTCCTATTCCTACAGAAGTTTATCCTCTTTCCCTGATCCATCTCTCCCCTACTCAAGCCTCTACCTTACCTCAGCAACATTCCCATGGTCATACGTTAGATTTTTTTTGGAGGTGGGGAGGAAAAAAACATCCAAAATTTATTCTTCAACAAGACAGACAGCGTCAGCAGGTAAAACTACAGGGGTTTCTCCATAGAGCATACATTCACAAGGGCATTATTTCCTTAACAGTGAGAAAGCCTCGGGTGTGTTCTCTGTAACAATATCCACTTCACAGTGTAAACAGGTACTAGCATTGTGTTCGCTTACAATTGCAGGAGAAAAGGCACAATGTAGCAAAAAAAAAAATTTTTTTTTGGATCTTAAAGTCAGATGCAACAACACAAACTTTTGATAACAGTCTAGAACAACTTTTCCACAAAGAGAGAGACTTCTCCATTCAGAAATTAAGGTCCTTCTTTCTCCTTCCTTGTTAAACCATTAGACCACGTTTCAGCACTACATATACAAAAAGGGGGGAGTTTTAAAAAAAAAAAAGAGAATCACGAAAATATCTTAAACGTCCAGCTGCTCCCATCACACATCAACTCAGGTTTAAGACAGACATCAGAAAACTTCAGTGGTCAGAAAATAGGAAAATAGACACTATGGCTACAAAAATAAAAAATAAATGAGGCAGATAAATTAAAGCTTTCACACTCATGGCTTGCCTGTTCCAACTTCGTAGCCGTCATGCAATACTCAAGAACAATCTCCATAATAACCTGGCATAAGCTGCACCAAGGACATTTTTGTAGAAATTGGTATGTGAACCTGTGAGAAACATGCCCTTCCGCGAGTTTCTTCAAGAATGAAATCCCGTTCTTCAACTGAGTAGGCAATGGTGAACCAAATTAAGTCACCTGAAGGTCCCTGCTCAGGTGCCCACTTCTCCCGGTGGCTCAGGAAGGAGGCATCTGGAAAGCAAGGCAGTACACGGACACTCTTGGGGCTCCAGCTGAACTGTATTTAAATAGGCAGCAACACGCATTGTCTCCCTAAGGACTAAAATCAGTCCATTTGACGGCATCCTACTTAAGGTTCCAAGGTTGAAGGAATTTTGTAATTCTACAATCTTAGTTTAAGAAAAGGTACATTCAGGGGAAAAAAAAAAAAAAAAAGAAAGAAAAAGAAGAAGAAAGGATGGGTGCAGGGTTGACATGACCAAAAACTTCAACATCTCCAGAGTTTTAACATCAAGCATCCGAATCTCCAAGCACCTCCCATCTTTCCTTCTCACTATTTTATTTTTAGTATCTTCACTCCAAAAACTATTTTTACCCCAAAAGTACTTTTAAATCACCCACTCATATATTCATTTTCCACTTTACCCAGCTCAGATTCCATGGTCTGTCATTAGAAACATTACTTCGCCCTGTATCCTGGTATCATAGCCAAACACCAATTCTAATTAAATCCAACATGTGATCAACTGCCCCTGAACCCACACAGCTGAAGAAAAAAACACAACCACGCTGAAGAGTCTTATTTTAATTTCATGAACCTCAAGTGAGCTGCCTGGAAGTCATACACTTCCCTAGTCCACTCCATAATCTTCTAGATGGCTATTTTGCTCCTTCTCTCTCTTTAAATCCCCTATCCTCACCATTAACTGATAATCTTGCTTCTATTCCACTGAAAAAATGAAAGCAATCAGGAGATAACTTCCACACCACACTACCATCTGCCTACATGTGTGCCCATATATTCCGCCCTCTTTCCTGTTACCGTGGATGAACTGGCTATGCTCCAAATGAAACATTCCCCTCATTGCTCCTCTGTTACCTCTATCTCTGTTACCACTCTGCTACCCCTACCTTGGTCCAAGCCAGCTCCTTATCTCACCAAAATTATTATAACAGCCAAACTACTCTGCCCACTTCTACCCTTGCCCCAGGCCCCTAAGTCTCGTCTTAACATAGCAGTCAAAATGATTCTTTTAAAATTTAACTAGTAGGGCGCCTGGGTGGCTCAGTTGGTTGAGCGACTGCCTTCAGCTCAGGTCATGATCCTGGAGTCCCGGGATCGAGTCCCGCATCGGGCTCCCTGCTTGGTGGGGAGTCTGCTTCTCCCTCTGACCCTCCCCCCTCTCATGCTGTCTCTCATTCTCTCTCTCTCAAATAAATAAATAAAATCTTTTAAAAAAAAATAAATAAATAAATAAAAAATAAAATTTAACTAGTAAAACTAAATTTTAATTCCCTTACATTTAAAATGTCACTCTTCTGTTGAAACCCTCCAGTGGCTTACCTCAGAATAAAAGCCAAGTCCATAGACCAGCCTGCCACAAAAATCTGCCCTCCCTCCCCATCATTCTGATTTTAACTGACTAGTCTCTTCCTCACTCCACTCCAGCCACACTAGTCTTCTTGTTTTCCTGGAACACACTAGTATGGTTCCCCCTGAAGATGTGCATTTGCTATTCCCTTTGTCTGGAATGTTTTCTCAGATACCTGAATGGCTTGTTCCCTCATCCCCTTCAGGTCTCCACTCAAATTTCTCCTTATCTCTTGACCATCCTACTTTTTCTCTGAACTCCAGTATAATTAACCTACGGTGTAACATTAGTTTCAGGTATACCATATAGTGATTCAACACTTCTATGCAACACTTGGTGTTCATCAAGACAAGTGCACTCCTTAATCCCCATCACCTATCTCACCCATCCCCCTGCCCATCTCCCTTCTGGTAACTATCAGTTTGTTCTCTATAGTTAAGAGTCTGTTTCTTAGTTTGCCTTCCTCTTTTCCTTTTCTCTTTTTTTGCTTTGTTTCTTAAATTCCACATATAAGTGAAATCACATGGTATGTCTTTCTCTGACTTCTTTCACTTAGCATTATACCCTCTGGCTTCACCCATGTCATTGCAAATGGCAAGATTTCATTCTTTTTTGTGGCTGAATAGTATTCCTGTGTATATACATCCTCTTTATCTATTCATCTATTGACAGACACCTGTGCTGCTTCCATAAATTGGCTATTATAAATAATGCTGCTATAGAATAGAGATGCATGTACACCCCTTAACTAGTGTTTTTGCATTTTGGGAGTAAATACCCAGTAGTGCAATTACTGGATCATAGGGTAGTTCTACACAAGAAAGAAGTGTTGGCAAGGATGTGGAGAAAAGGGAACCCTTTGGCGCTGCTGGTGGGAATGCAAGGTAGTGTGGCCACTCTGGAAAACTGACCGTCCTACTTTAAAGTAACAACCCTACCTGTTACCAACTTTATTTTGCTCCATAATGCTTAATACTAAAATACCATTTGTGTTTCTGGTTTAGATTACCTATTTCCTCTCACCAAAATATACATTCAGTCAGGAGTTTCCTGCCTGGCTGTCACTGCTGTATTCCCAGTACATGGAACCATACTTGGCACACGTATTTGGTTGAAATGAACAGTGTTGCCTTCTATTAACTAATCAAAGGACAGTCTCACTTAAAGATTATAAAAAACTCAAGATCTGGAACCATTAAACGTCTCGTTTCTCAGGAAAAAAAAAAGATACCGGATGTTCCGGATTGTGTAGTTACAATATCCCAATCTGATCTGTTTACCAGCTCTGAAAAGGACATTTAAGAAGGTGTTAGGTCATTATCAGTGATGTTTTGGCGTGTTCCGTTACTTTACAACTTTTTCCACAAAAACACCCCCTCGTTTTGTAGACAGGCGAAGAGAGGATTGCTCACCTACTAGCTCCTTTCTTTCTCAGAATCACCCTCTGAGGCTGACAAAGGCAAGCAGAGAAAAGGAGGCTAGAACGAGATTCAGAGCTGAAGCCCAGCTGCTACGTCAAGCTCACGCACTAACCCACGGCAATGCTCACTCCACGGCTCCATTTGCTTCTGAGGCCCTGCGAAGAGCAAGACCGGTCTGGACCTTAAGGACTCTGGATTTCAGTCATGAACAGATGAAAAGATGGATGGGAAGGCAGAAGCCGCAAAAAAATGCTGGGAGAATCCTCGGGAAAGGACAAAGGAGAGGAGCATCCTCAAGTTTCCTCCCAGACACACTGGAAAATATAATTTGGGTTTGGCACAGTTATTGCCAAAAAACCACCCAAAGTACATTTCGCGCAGGCTGTAACAGAGGCGTGGCAATTCCGGGAGCAGGGCACTAAGAACCCAGGCGGCCACGGGCCTTGGAGCTCGCGGCGCCCGAGGGGTCGTGGAGCAGCCCGCGCCGCTCGCTTCCCAGCGCCGCCCGCGCGCGCGCGCGCCCGCTAAGCGTCACTTGCTCGGGAGCGGCCCCCGCGCGTAGCGGGAGCCGGAGCGAGGGCGGGAACCCTCCCCTCCGGCCCACCCCCTGCGGCCCACTGCGTGCAGAGCGACGTGGGTGCGGGAAACACAAAGGCTGGGGCAGCGGGCAGAGCCCCAGAGGCCGAGACGGCGGTTACCGGGTAGAGGTAGAGCACCGCTGCCACCAACGCCAGCAGGAAGGTAACGGCGAAGATCGCGAAGTCCAACATGGTTCTTCCGCCCGGGAGCCACGTCTCGGATCCCGCGCTCGGGGAGCAGCGCCTCAGCCTGGCCAGTTCTGCGGAATGGGCGTGTGCGCGGAGGCGCCCGGTGGACCTGCGAGCCAATGGGCCGCCGGGGGCGGGGCCGGGACAGGCGGGGCTGGCGGGGAGAGCAATGGAGCGCCGAGGGTGGGCGGCGAGGCTGGGGACGCACCCCAGGGCGGAGGTGACGGCCGACGCGGCATCATGGCGCGTCCCCAGGCCTTGGGGTCGGAGCCGCAGGGGAAAGCGGAGTCCGGGCTCCTAAAACACGTTAGCGGTTACCATCGCTCTGCCCTGACCAACACTTTCCCAGTGGATTTAAGATTAAAACCCGTAAACCAGGGGCGCCTGGGTGCCTCAGCCGGTTAAGCGACTGCCTCCGGCTCAGGTCATGATCGTGGAGTACTAGGATCGAGTCCCGCGTGGGGCTTTTCTGCTCAGCAGGGAGTCTGCTTCTCCCTTGACCCCCCCCCCCATGGTCTTTCTCAAATAAGTAAATAAAATCTGTAAAAAACAGAAAACCCGTAAACCAGAGATTCTCACAGTGTGGCCCCCGGAACAACGGCACCAATAGCAGCACCGGGGAACTTGCTAGAAACGCTGATTTCTCTACCGTATCCTAGACCTACGGACTCGGACTCTGGGAGCGAGAGGGGTATGTGTTTTATTTAACAAAGCTGTTGACCTCAGGGAGAACCACTGACCCAAGCTAACCTGGGCTGGGAAATGTCAGAGTCAAGCGCTGTTAGATGCTCCTTGTTTCGCGAAAGAATTATATTTGATGTGCTAATAAATGTGATTCCTCGACACTTTTTCTCATGAGTGAAGGCAGTGAACTGTTCAGTGATGGGTAACTTCCGCTAGAGTTGCAGGAAATTGAAATTTCTAAGCTTCCATCTCCTTCGTGTAAAACAATGGAAATAATACCACACAGAGTTGCCCGCAGAAGTAAATCGGATATTTTATGAAAAGTACTTAGCACAGCTCCTGGCAAAATGCTCGTTAGTATTTAGCACTAGTTGTTCTGAGCATAACCCTAAGATCCCTCTTCTCTGTCACATGATTCAAGTTTTGATTATGGATAATGTAAAGCAAGGCCCATTACTTACTGGTGCTCCATTTAGTGAACGCTCCTAAAAGTACAGATTTTATAGTTTTAACGGTATAAAGTCTGTCTCTCTCTCTCACTCTGTCTCACATACACACAAAGGCAGCAATTCGGTAAGAGAAATCATTCGAGATTGCATTTTAGAACATCTATGATAAATGACTTACTGCTTAAGCATGAAACATCTCTCACTGAAAATGCCAACTCTTTTGGCATCTATAGCAAATGGAACAAAATGTTGCTATGTGATATTTCATTTGGCAGAAATTGTACTTTTAACTCTAGTTCCCTGTGTATAGATGTGTTTCCATCGTTCATTTTTAAATATCTTCTTTGGAATTTTAAAGACATTTCCTGTGTAAATCATATTCCAAATAGGTTTTCAAAACAGTAAACATCAGATTTTTTAAATGCCTGGTAGAGTTAAGTAACAGTAATCCTAGACACTAATATTCAAGGATATCTGGACTCCCCTTTAGGTTCGAAATTAACCTTTATATTGCCACAGACCCTCTGAACTTTGAGGGTCTGTGAAAAGAGACAAAGATTACAGAGGCTGAGCAAGACACACAATATTTTAGAGATTGAGTCTCTAAAACTATGCAACTACCTCCTCTTGTGTTCAAACTTTTGCCCAGATACTACCTAAAAATATTTTGTGAAACCATGTGTATGCTTTCACACATTTTGGTGTTGACATCTAAAATTTTTATCTTGACTTTAAAGGATTAAATTTCCAGTATATTATAAATATTCACATTTTAAAATTATATCTCTTTTAAATGTATAAAAAGGAATTTAAATACTATAGTGATGTGATGACTATCATCAAACATTTTTTAAATACACACATTCTTTGTGAAGAGCTGGAAATTTTCCATGGCTCCTTTTTCTTTCATTTTTTCCCCCCACGGTTCCTTTTTTTGAACTTATTTCCATTTCACTTATCCTACAGAGTTTTATCCTAAAGTATGTTTATTCTTTAAAGTAATTTTTTCATCACCAGTCATAGTTCTCAACATGTATACATTTTGAATTTTAAAATACACTTCAATTCTGTGACTTTAAACTCATGTTTTATTTTATTTTATTTTTTTTTTAAGATTTTATTTATTTGCGAGAGAGAGCATGAGAGGGAGGAGGGTCAGAGGGAGGGAGCTAAGCAGGGAGCTAAGCAGGGAGCCCAATGTGGGACTCGATCCGGGAACTCCAGGATCATGACCTGAGCCGAAGGCAGTCACTTAACCAACTAAGCCACCCAGGCGCCCCTAAACTCGTGTTTTAAAACTCTTAGGAAATACTTTTTAAAGATTTAAACTTTTGAATAAAATATTTTAAAATATAAAATATTTAAAATTTTAAAACTCTTTTTTTTTTAAGATTTTATTTATTTAGTTGACAGAGAGAGAACACAAGCAGGCAGAGCTGCAGGCAGAAGGAGAGGGAGAAGCAGACTCCCCACTGAGCAGAGATCCCAGAACCCTGGGATCATGGACCTGAGCCTAAGACAGACTCTTAACTGAGCCATCCAGGCACCCCTTAAAACTCTTAAATATTTCTTCAGGATCAAGTTGTCATTACAATTTTGTTAGACAATTGGTAAAAAAAAAAATAATAACAAAATTTGATAAAGTAGTAAATGTAAGTAAAATTCTATTGGAAATGCATCTCTCCAGATGGATGGGCCCTTTTTCAATTAGTTCATGTATTTATGAGTGAATATTGTTTGTTGCTAATATTAGCCATGATTCAATATCAACTGTTCCTGTTTTTTGTTTTAATACATGTAAGCCCTAAGAAAACTTTTTCACAAAAATAGTAAGATGGGACATTTTTATAGCAACATTATTTGTTTTATAGCAACATTATTTTTTTGCAGTACTTTGGACAGGCCAAAAATCATATAAAAATAAGATTAACTAGGATTTTATATATATACGACTATGTTTATTTTATATACATATATTTTTAAGATTTTATTTATTTATTTGACAGAGAGAGAGAGTATAAGCAGGGGGAATGGCAGGCAGAGAGAGAGGGAGAAGCAGACTCCCAGCTGAGCAGGGAGCCTGACATGGGGTTCAATCCCAGGACTCCGAGATAATGACCTGAGCCGAAGGCAGACCCTTAACCGACTGAGCCAACCAGGCGCCCCATGTTTATTTTATATTTAATGGTCTGTTACCTCACCTTCACATCTCAATTAGGTCCTCTTTCTCTTTTACTGAAAAGAAAGAATTAGAAATGGAAACATCTTTTTGCTGATTGTTCACCACTCTCCACCCTCCCACATATCCTCAGAGCATTCTCTGCATTCTTTGTCCTGTATTGTGACTTGGAGCTAATTCCTGCAGACTACACCAACTGGTCTCCCTTATAAACTTGCCTCCAGTTGGGTTCCACCTATAAGAAGCATCAGTACGTTGAGGCTGAGAAGAAAGCAGGTTTAGAAGCTTCCTTTTTGCTCCTCACTCAGCTCTGAGCCATGTTATCCCGCAGGCGCCATATCCCTCTCTGCCTACAGCTTTTGAGGTAGTCTCCTCCTGTGATCCTCCAGCCCTCTCTGAGCAACAGTACTATTATTTTCTCCCCTTGACCCTTCAGATCTAGGATTGATAATGGTTTCCCCTGCTGCTAGTCTCTGGATATTTCAGCATCCCTTGTTGTCTCTTAACCTTGCTCACACCTCTGTATATAGTTCCTTCATTAAAATCTTTTGAACCATCTGAGTTAAATACTGTTTTCAAAACAAGAATGGCCCCTTGAAACATCAATCCTGGGCCAGGTTAAACACATATCTGGCAACCTCATGAATGACAGACATCCGCCCTTGATAGTCTGTGGAATGCAATGGCAACAAGATTATTCAGATTATCACTGATGGTGGCATGGGATGGAATTCAGGTAGGGGATAAAACTTTGGGTGGTCACATAACTCTTGATGACAACAGTAGGGATTCCAAAAGACTGTGAAGTGGATGGCTCTTTCTAACTGCATTACAGATCTTATGAAAGGGGAAAAAGAAACTTAAGGCCATGAATTCTCAAAATAAGATAGAGATGAAGAACCGGAAACCTTCTATGGTGCTCTCAAAAGGATTTCTTATCTTGTGCAGCTGCAGGACTGATATGGCTGAATGTAAGTCCCCAAAATCTAATTGTACAGGTTGTAGAGTTTCAATTCCTACTTAAAAGCACAACAGTGTCAAAGTCTCTTACTCTAAAGTTAGAACACTGTTGGAAAAGGAATAGAACTCTGAGATCACGACATTTGGTCAGTGCAAGACACAGCCCAAACCCCAAGTTCCTCTGAACCTCACTATCTGTCCTCTTGTCGAGGAAGCTACCTTTTCTCACAGAAAAGTCTTTCAGAAACTTCTCTTGGGTCAGTTATATCACAAGGGACTGCCTATTATCCTGAAGAAGAACTCCCATTTCCCCTCGTTATCTCCAGGCCCATAAAGAAAATTAAACTCCTCATGACCCATGAAGAGAAATGCCTGTTCAGTTCCTAGAGGAAATAACCTAACAGTGGCATTTCAAGAAAAAGAGGCTGCTGATGGAGCACCCCCAGCAGAATGGAGGACTTTATTACCGACATTTTTACAATTGCCAGCACATTGTGACAATAAAAAGCAGAAGACAGGGCGCCTGGGTGGCTCAGATGCTTAAGCGTCTGCCTTTGGCTTGGGTCATGATCCCAGGGTCCTGGGATCGAGTCCCGCACCGGGCTCCCTGCTCCTTGGGA